ATATAATACGCAACCTCCGGTGTTAGAATTCTTTTCTGTTATTAAAATAAATGCTTTCTGCCTTTCTCTACCACCTTAGAATGCTGTGAGGACAGTCTGCTCAGTACAGCTGTATAAGCCATCCATTCTGAACTTATTGTGCATTAAAATAGGAGAAATTGTATGCATTTGGACCTTTTTATTTTGATTTATAAAAATGAAAGGGAAAAACCTTGAAACAGTTTCAGAGAAGAAAAAAAAAAAAAAAAAAAAAAAAGCTTTAAGAACTCTCACAAAGACACCCACATACATTTTTCAAAAAAGTATTTTCAAAATATTTTCAATGTTTTCATTATGTAAAAAGATAAGTTGTTCAAAGGCAGATTGCTGAGAAAAAAACCATCATTTTTACAAGCTATTCCTTGCCACTTTTTCTTTCTTCCTTTCAAACATACCTCAAGAATTCCTTAGAAAGAAGGGATATGCTCATTAAGCTCATACTTAATATTGACACAATCCCAGTGGAGACACATACTAAACTACGTCTAATAGTTTTACCATTCCACATTTGTTTTGGAACACGTATTTTATAAAGCATGTCAGCAGCATCCTCTCTGGAGAGGACTCTCCATTCTTTTGAAAGTCTCTAATGGAATTAGCCTGTTGTCAGGTTTCTCTTTTAAAACAAAATGGAAGCATTTCTTCTATCTCTTTGAGAAGGAATTAGGAGGACCATTAGAGCACCTTCTCTTTCTACTTCATAAATGTTAGTTTGAGAGAGAATCATTCTTCTAGTAGTCAACTGCATTCTGGTTATACTTATATTCTCTAGGCAACTGATGTCCATCAGTGTTTACCACATAGACAGTGGTTATATTTTCTTCACCAATATTCGTGATGCATAAGTGGAAAAAAACTCAAAATCCAGCTTTGACTTTCCACAGCAATATTGGAAGACTAATCATTTATTGGAAAGATTAAATGCAACCACATTCAAGACTTGTTTTGCAACATAAAGCTGAAATATAAGAACTAAGGCTTCCATAAACTGTGGCTTAAAAACATTTACAGTACATAGTCATGGAATTAAAACTGACAAGTAAATTTAAAAGCAGAGGACATTAATGTCTTACATTTTTTTTCTAATAAAAAAAAGAACTAACAATAAAATTGACATGAAAAAAGTATTTGTTACAAAGAAGTGTTTCTCCTTATCAGCATTTTTGTGGAACTACTGCTTACTGCTGAATAGAAACTTGATAAATACTGTAACTATGAGGAATCTCTATTCATGTGTTCATCGGGGAAGTTTCAGGAGGTCACCAGTGGGAGTTTTGAGTGATTAGTTACTTGATGTTCTAAAACTGTTCAGCAAGGCTATATGACGACTAGTAATAAAACATATGAAGAAGGAGAAATAATTAATAAAATGAATTAATCGAGAACTAGACAATTAAAAAGCCTGCCAAGCTTTGTTTAGACTGACCCAAGTCATATAAAGATGGCCACAATCAAGTCAAGACTTATATTTTACTCTTCAGCTTGTGAGTTCGATTCTGTGATTCCAACTACAGATTGTATCAACCTCCACCAAAGTCACTGTCTTCTATTCTCCAACTGTCTTCTTCTTCATCGAATTTACTAACTACAGCACACTTTTCACTTGCTATTACCATATTAGCATTATAACATTAATTTGTCAACACAACACCTTTGCTTACAAGATAAGGCATTACTGCCAAGATTTTGCTAACAGAAATCCTAGTTAAAAATCAAAACAGATAATAACTAAGCAAGCTATGGAGTGATGTATCACAGCCTTCAATCAGCTCATATGATCAGAGAAGCAGCCATTTGCATATTCACTTTTTTTTCCTACTTGTAATGGATCTAGGCTTATGAGCAAAGTCTCATCCATGAGCAATTATGTCCTTACCGATTTCTCGCATCAGTGATCACAGTTTCAGACAAATTAAAGTGTCCCTACATTATTTTCATTAGTAAACAAGTTGCAAGTATTTAAAGTGCCTGAAGAAACTGTATTGGAAAGACTTGTCTGGTGATGGTTGAGAACTGAAAGTATATTATTTCTTACCACATACAACACTATCCAGCATCCTTCGAGAAGCAGAACACATGAAGGCATTAGATGCCATTTGCATTATCCCACAGCAGGGGGCTACAGCAGCTACAATTCCAGGATAATTTTAACCCATATCTGTACACCAGGAATTCTACAAAACTATCTTTAATATCACAGTTGATCATACGGTAACTCTTTAAAATAAATAGCTTAGATTCCAGGTTGCATAAATTGTTTAAGATACTGTACAAAAGTTATTTAAAATACATGTCATCCTTCTACTGTTAAATTTTGTATATAGCAGGCTAAATTCATGAAATGGGAGGAAAAAAAAGCGAAACAAAAAATGCAAGTACAAGCTGCTAACATACATAACAGTTAAACCTCTTAGGACACAGTTTAGATACTTTGGAATCATTAACAGCACAAGAGGTAAGAACAACAGCAGCCAGAGATCCTACTATTTTCACAGTAAATACTGGATAGGGCAAAGCAGACTAATATCATACCCGAACTCAGCTGACAAGCCACTTCTCAGCTCAACATGTTATTACTCCCCCTTCCACCTCACTATTCCCCTCTCACAGCAAGCAGTTGACACTGGACTCTTTTACTTCTTGTTTGCCTCCGTTCTGAAGGGACTGCTTGCTGTTAATGCTATTCCATGCACAAGCTGAGAGGCATTATTCTATGTCCTCTTCCCTCAGCTGATGCTTCATCAACACTCGGGGCATATTGCTTAAGCCAGGCTCTTAATAGACAGAGCCAAAAAAAGGCACACTTCCATACAGGACATGTTAGCTCAACTCTGTCTTATCTTTACACTGAATTAGTGAACTGAAGCTAACAGGAGCCATCCTCAGTCACAGTCCCAAAGCGTTCCGAATCCTCAGAACAACAATCTCATTCATGTACAGAGATGACAGAAAACCTGTGTATCCCACAGACAGAAACGGAGGAATCTAACAAATCCGCTGAGCCACTTCACAAGGCAGTCTGGGGAAGCGCAGCAAGCCAGCAGGAAAAATTACTTTTAAATGCAGGTATAAAAATGCCAGCAAGAAATGTGTCCAGTACAGAAACCATGGCTGGCTGTGCCAAAACAAATGGCACTGTTTATGAAGTAGCGCTACAAGGTGAACCAAAGGAATTTGATATTTGGTGAGACACAGCAACTATTCAGGGCAGATTTCCCTTAGAAAATATTTGTGTGTTTTCTTCCCCTTCAAAGGAGGATGGAGGAAAGCATAGCAGAAATTATCTCCTCTCACTCCACTCTGAGGGTGACAGGTTTCTTTAATCCCCGTTCTACTCAGTGCCCAGTAGAACGGCACCCAAAAAGTGCTCTGCTCAAATGTGGTATAGGGACTGTTCCAGTACTCCTGAGGGCAGTTTTAACCAGGAACTGAAAAAAATACTTGTGCGACAAACTGAGAAGGAGCAGGCATTTCGTACCAGGCAGAGAGCAAGCCAAGCAGCACGTGAGGCACGGCCTGCCCCTGTCTGCAAGGACGGGCCCAGCCTGACGATTTCCACAGATCTACATTGTATCCTTTTTCTTGCAATGTTTTACTACCTGATGCGGTTCACAGAGTAGCATTCCGCCTGGCACGCGCCCTAACCCGCCGTCAAAGGCGGCACTGTTTTAATCACTGGTTCACTCTTAAGAATGCGATGCGCCGAAGGCGGCTGACTGCATCTTCACAGAGATCAAACCCTCCTCCTTCAGCGGCAGCCCCGGTTCTATTGGTGACACGAAGCACCCCTCCCCGGCGGGGCCATGAATCGACAATTCACGGGGAGATGCAAGAGACAGAGAGCAGAGTCCAGGTGCAGTCCCGGCACATGCCCCAATAAATCACCCGGTACAGCGCCGGCACAGCGGCTCCGTGTGCGGTGACGCACACCGGCGAGGCGCACCGAAGCCCTGCCCCGTGAAGCCGCGCTGATAGCCGCCCGGTGCGCTGCCCCGTCCCCTTCTAGCACCCGCACTGCCAACTTCCCCGTGAGGCGACGCTGCCTCCCGGTCCGCTGCGGGCGCCGCGCTCTTCAACCCTGTGGAGCCCGCCCGACACATGACGCAGCCGAGGGAAACGTAAAATTTATTGAACTTGACACGGCGCGGCGTGACGGAGACGAGGGGAGAGAAAATCCCTGCAAGGTCACTTCGCTCCCCCGCTTCCCCCCCGGAGCCCCCCGCAGGGAGGCAGGTCGCCCCCGTCCCCTATCCGCCCGCCAGTCTCCGCGCGGCGGCTCGCTGACCCCGCGCACACCCGCCAGAGGCCGCCGGGCTGCGGCGCCGCGGCCGCTGCCACCTCCCCCGACCCCCGCGCTCCCGACCGCTACCGCCCCCCGCCTGCGCGCCTCCCCGCCCCACGGGGTGGGGGGAGAGAGAGCTGCCCGCCTTCCTTCGCAGCCGGGAAGCGGCGGTACTCGGCGGGTTCCCCCTCCGCCGCGGCTGTTCCGTGTCAATTAGAAGGAGGGTATTCACTAAGAGGAGCGGCGCGGCGCAGTGGGGGAAGAGGAGGGACGCGGAATATACCGAGTCGGGGAACTCGCCGTTGGCGTCGGGGAGATGCTGCCTCACTTCGGCAGCGCCTCACGTATGGGCTCTATACGTCCATCTCGATGCGCGGCGAGGTGCCCCTTCCCCCGCGCCAGCAGTGCCCGCGGCCCGCACCTCCCCGGGATGCCGCCCTCCACCGCCGCACTCGCACTTCAGGGGCACGCGGGGAGCGGGGCCAAAGCGGCGGGGCGGGAAGGGTTAATAGCGGGGCTGGAGAGAGCGGCGGAGGCCAGGGGACGAGCGTCGGGGCGGGGGGACGCGAGGGTAGCGGGGTCAGGAGTGGGGCGGTTGGGCAGCGGGGCCGCGGCGATGCCCCCCCCCAACCCCCCCGCCAGCCCGGGGCCCCTCCCGCGGAGGAGGGGGAGACAGTACCTTGTATGAGGATCCCGCAGAGGCTGTAGAAGCGCAGGAGCGCGCCGGGCTTCAGCCGCATGCTGGGGGCTCCCCTCGGGCTGGGTGGGCGCCAGGCACGCAGATCCGCAGCCTCCCGCCGCTCCGCTCTCCGGGCGCTTCCTTCCCCCCGCAGGAGCCGCCGCCGCCTCCGCCGCAGTGTCTCCCTCGCTGTATCCAGTGGGGTGAGGAGGAGGAGGAGGAGGAGGAGGAGGAGGAGGAGGACCAGGGTCGCGGGGGTGGATTGGGGAGGGAGGAGGGGGGGAGCGGCGCTCTCCGCCGCTGCCTAGCAGGTTCCCCCCACGGAGCGGTGCCGGCTGCCCCCGGTGGTTCCGCTCGCCCTCAGCGCAGCGCCTGCCCTCCGCTCCGCTCGCCTGTCCCGTCCCGTATCGTCCCGCTGCTGGCGGGTGCAGCGGCGAGGCTGCTCCGTTCCCAGCCGCTTCCCGGCTCGAGACACAAGGGCAATCTCCGCTTTGCGAGGCTCCCCTGGCCTCACCCCGCCTCCGCCTCTAGCCCCGCCCCTTTTCGGCTGGAGGCCCCGCCCCTTTTCGGCTGGAGGCCACGCCCCCTCGCGCCACACCCCGACCCACTCTGAGTCTCGGACCCGCCTCCGCTACCGCCTTGGCCGCGCCCCTGCCTGCACGGCACGCCCCTCGGCCTGCGGACCGCCCCCTCAGGTGGGCACGTGAGTGGCAGCAGCGGCCCTCCAATGAGAAGTCCACCGCTTCGCCCGGACCTCCAATGAGGCGATGCCAGGGGAAGCGCGAGACGCCGGGTTACAAAACAAACGAGCGCTTCTCGGAGGCTCCAGCCGGGAGCCGGGCGCCAGCACCTCCCTCCCTGCCCCGCTGAGTGGCGGACGGCTCGGGCCAACCGCGGGCAGCCCTGGCTCCGCGGCGGCTCTCCAGCCAATGGGCGGTGAGCGGCGGCGGGAAGGCGGGGTCGGGCGGCGGGGCGCTGTCCAGACCTGGTCCTGAAGCGGCGGCCCGCGGCGCACGCGGCACCGCCTCGGGGCCGGGCGGGTCCGGCTGCGGCGCCCTCGGAGCGGGGAGGCGGCCGTGCTGCCGCCCCGTGGGAATAAGAGGGACCCGGAGCCCGACGAGGCTGGATGGCAGTGCGAGCCGGGCTGCGGGGCCGGGGAAGCAGCGTTCCGCCGGCTGTCCGGGCGGTGGGTACCTTCTGCGGGGCCGAGAGGCGGTGCGGTGGTCTCATCTCCAGAGCTGATGCTATGCGCGCCCCTTTCCGACCCTGGCCGGGACTGGAGAGCTCCTCTTGTCGCTGGCGGGGGAAAACGTAGCAGCATCCGCGATTCGCTGCCAGAGCCATGTTCCGTGGAAGGGACTTAGCCATGCTGCTTGTTCTCTGTTCAAGGGAGGCACAGGGCACCTTCTCCTCTGCATTTCCACCTGTCTCCTGGCAAGCAGCAGAAGAAAAGCTGGCCGAGTCCCATATACCTCCAGAATTAAGTATGAGCCTCCGTAAAGAGAGTGTGTATGTGTACCATCCACGCAGTAGTAGTAAGACCTCTTACAAGGCACACTGAAAACAGAAATAAGAATCTTTCTGGACTCTCATCTGTGTTCCCCCAACTCTGATTGGCTTGCAGAAAAGTGTATATTTGAAGGCTTTCTTTGGAAGCATTTTCAGCATTCACTCAGGAGTCCAAAACTGCTCACAGTGTGAAAGATGAGATACCAAATGTAGGAAACCCAAGATGGCAGGCTGCTTCTTCGTATTCATTTAGTGAGCATTTAGCACCATTTAGCATCATTCACCCTTTGCCAAAACCACTAATGAAATTGGAATACTTTATTGTATCGAAGTTGCTGGACTTGTCTGTGAATGTCTACTCAGGGAATTGCATTGCCTCTTCTCAGAGAAAGCAGGATTCCCCTGCACTTAGATGCTTGCAGGGATCAAGTGTTTCTCTACTTCTGCTTCCATCCTTTTTCTATTGGGATCTGCTCGACACCACAGTGCTGTATGTTTTGCATTGTACCTTTCAGCCTTCATTTCCCATTCTTTGCCACCAAAGAGCTCTACTGAGATAAACAAGTGATGAAATATTCTTAAATACCTATGGGAGTAGAAGCTCTTTAAAAACTCATTTCTCCAAAGGGTGCATGGTCTCAGATCATTAAGGAAGTGCTAACAGTAGACAAATTTACCCTGCAGAGCTTGCTTTAGCCTAGGATCTGGGCATTTAAATATTCTGTAGTCATATCTTTCATTTGGTTCTTTATCAAGTAATGATTACACCTTGTAACAGTTAAGACATCAGGATTTACATTGAGATCCCCCTTCTCCAAAAGATGTCCAAGCACAGTACATAATCAAGCTAAAAATTGGCATTCTGAAGACAGAATTGCTATAGTTGATTTCATTTTTCTGAAATCCAAATCACATCCATCTCTATTCTCTTAGTATGCTACTTGAACAGTGTCAAAAATGTTGCACTGAAATATTCCCTAGGCAGGAACATTTGCAGAGAAGTCTTTGCAGTAACCGTCTCTGGGGATGATTAGGTACTTGTTTTACTTGTTGTTTTGTTACTACTGAAAAGGGGGGGGGAGAAGGAAAAGGAAAAGGAAAAGGAAAAGGAAAAGGAAAAGGAAAAGGAAAAGGAAAAGGAAAAGGAAAAGGAAAAGGAAAAGGAAAAGGAAAAGAAGAGAAAAAGGAAAAGGAAAAGAAGAGAAAAAGAAAAAGAAAAGAAAAAGAAAAAGAAAAAGAAAAAGAAAAAGAAAAAGAAAAAGAAAAAGAAAAAGAAAAAGAAAAAGAAAAAGAAAAAGAAGAAAAAGAAAAAGGAAAAGGAAAAGGAAAAGGAAAAGGAAAAGGAAAAAGAAACACAATAGGCAAAGTTTGCAGTTTTATCACTGTTATGATTCAGTGCATGTAAAGTAATGAGTGGGCAATGATTCTCAAAATATTTTAGATGTCATGCAAACAGTGACAACCTGTTTTTAAAGCTGCATTAAAAGTCTTGACAAAGGCTCAAAATTTGTATATTGTTTTTCAGGAGAAAAGTAAAAATAATTGACAAAATAAGTAATTTAAATCCTTCACTAAAGCAGGATTGTAATGCAGTCAGAAGTGCCTTTGCGTTAGTTGTTATAATTGACATCTCTGTACTTTTGAAAACATATATTTGATTGCAGTCTTGTTGCAGGAAGCAATTCAGGAAAGATACAAGTGTCTAAGAAAAGAGGCTTCTCGGCAGATGCAGGGATCAAACACCCATCTGTACATCACAAGGATTCCACATCTTTGCCCCATGAGCACATCTGAAAAAGATGGACTGTGTCTTTAGAAACATGAGCTGACATTTTCCTCCCAAAACCCAGTAACACTGACAGAAGCATGCCCAAAAATGCTGATTTTCACCTTTCTCTTCTGAATTGGTTCTGAAATGAGCTAGCAACAAGAAGGTGGCATTACTCCTCTACATTATGCAGCATAAATCTTTATTAAACATTAGAAAAGCAAACCCAGGGTTCAAGCATCATCAATAAATCATTGCAGCGAAGAAGAGTGAAAAGTCTTTATACTGTGTAAGTGAGTTTTCTGTCCATTTTCTTGAAAGAGAAAAAAAAATTCCAACGAGAAACTCATGGTTTATTTGATCAACTGTATATCTGAAGCATTTATTTATTAAAATTGTTTGAACTGCCAGATGAGATGTCATCTTTTTCTTTGTATATGTAACATCATATCTTATGACATTCACTGGCAGCTCCTATATAAACCTAAAACCTAAAACCAGACAGAACCTTGTAATTGGTCTGTGAAGCTGAAGCTTATGCATGAAATGGCTAGAGGCTTCATTACTTCCAGACCAAAAGGGCAACAGGGACTATTAAGGAAGTACACTGCAGAACAAAGTAAAAAATAATACCTTAAAATAACAACAGGAGGTCAGCACTGAAAACCAGTTGCACAAGGTAAACATTTTGTAAGAGCCAGAAAAAAAATCTGCTTTATCTCGATATCCATCAAGGTGGTGCATACAAATGCTTCCAATACCAAGCAAAATAATTCAATCTCCAAGCAAGTTTCAGAAAGAGTCAGCAATCCTTCTCGCTGAATTGCTAAATAGCAAGTTGTCCAGGTTCCTCCACACTTGCAACATAGATTTTATATTCTTGTACCCCCAAGTTTGTATTCATTCAAAAGCTAGCAGACAAACATTTCCTAAAGCAGATCTGTCAGCATTCTAACTTGCTTCCTGTCAATAATGTCATATTCTTGCCTTTTTAGATGGAATATTTTTCACAGGTGTTGGTGAACAGTTAATGAAACTGCGAAGAGCCCCAGTAGACAGGTCTGTTCACTAACTGCTTCATATCTTGGTCCACTGCATGATCTCTTATGCATGTACATTTTTCTTATCTGATCATCAAGACTTCCAGCTCTTCTCTAAAAAGCTACCCTCCACCTCCTCTAGAAGGAGCCATCTGTGTTGTAGTGGATCAGTCTACCTCTAGAGTTTGCCTTGAAAGAAGAAAATTCTGAAGGGATAACCAGGATTTTAATTATGCCAATCCTCCTTGATTGCATCACTTGGTCTTCAGACTATAGAGAGAAACAATAGCCGAGAAAGGCCTTCATAGGACCAAATCTTGTGGTTCTGTTGAATTCATTACAGAGTGAAAGATGGAGGGAGGATTTAAAGGCAGAAAAATTCCTATTATTACAAGCTGTGAAACATTCTTATAGAAATGCTTGTTCTATATTATCTTCTACTGTATATTTTTTAAGTAAATTCTGAATACCCTAGAGGGTAGTGAAGCAGTGTCAAAATATGATTTTGATATGATACTAAAAGTGAAAAGGCCTACTGTATTTTACGAAAGAGACAAGCTAGCTGTTTCATAAGACAGAGACATATACTATCCTGACTCACAGTACTGCTAAACACTCACAATCACAGTTAAAATTGTAATTTGGACTGTATTTATATGACTCAGTATAAAAATGCTGTGACAGAAACACCGTGCAGCTGCAACCTAGCATCTGGTTGGATAACAGCCATTTCTTACAGTGGCAAGTACTCTATTCTTGTATTTGCCCCCTCCTACCTGAAAGTGGCAGAATGGTCCTTCTCCAAAAGGCAACATGTGTGGTCATTCAAAGTACATTTCCCTGCCCAATGCACCATTATGAGTCCATGTGGAAATCACAGAATTTTGACTGAAGTCTGTGTATTCATGGCTTATAACATGAATACACATGGCTTATAACAAGAATACTCTTTTAACATATTTCAGCAGCTGAAACAGAAGAATTGGGGTTTTGTTTGTTTTGGGTAAGAAATTTTGTATGGTGGAAAGGAGTTGCTGTTGTTTTAAATGATGTGAATTTGGTTGAAGGCAATCTCTAAAAAAAAATAAAAATTGGATAACATTTACTTACCAGATGCCAGTGATCTGCATTGGTTTGAACAAATACTGTAACTACTAATTTAGTTAAATCTATCCAACTGTGAAAATATATTGGCGTGAATA